AAAAAAAAAAAAAAAAAAAAAAAAAAAAAGGCATATCAGAATATCAGCTTTAGAAAAGTAAATTTCTCTCCCATCCCTACATTTTAGTACTTCTTGGAATCTGATTTGGGTTTGGGTGGTAGACTAAAGAGAAAATATCTGATTGTGTAAGAGATTAATAACCCTGTACTCTAGCAGCTTTGTAAAAGTTTCACCAAATCATTTTCTGTACTATTATAGATGGCTGTCATCTTCTTGGACCATCCAAAGATTTAAGTATCAGTAGCCTATAGGTAATCCTTCTGTTTTATAGTAAGCCCTTCCTCTAAGCTATCAGTTGAGCGTTAGGGATCCAGCTTCATGCCAATTGAAGCAAGTTCAGGGGAAAGGAACAGTATGAAGTTGTTCCAAGGTGACAGTTTGGTGACTGGTTATATTTCTAATGGACAGGCACAGCTGCTCCCGACCCGTTAGATAGCAATAATGGTGCGTTTGTTCCCACTATTGATTTGAAATTCTGCAGTGGGATTAAAATTTTTGGAAAGCAGAGATAATTAGAATCTTTGTCCTCACTCAAATGTATCCCAGGACTTTGTTTTTTATTTTATTTTTTTATTTTTGAGACGGAGTCTCACTCTGTTGCCAGGCTGGAGTGTGACCTCGGCTCAGCTCACTTCAACCTGTGCCTCCTGGGTTCAAGTGATTCTCCTGCCTCAGCCTCCTGAGGAGCTGGGACTACAGGCGTGTGCCACCACGCTCAGCTAATTTTTGTATTTTTAGTAGAGATGGGGTTTCACAATGTTGGTCAGGATGGTCTCTATATCCTGACCTCATGATCTGCCTGCCTTGGCCTCCCAGAGTGCTGGGATTACAGGTGTGAGCCATCATGCCCGGCTGTATCCCAGGACTTAGACATGAGTTAGGCTAGTTCATGTTACTGAATTCTGTTTTTCAAAAAGGAGGAACCCTAGATGAGATAATAAAATGTTTCAGAGATACTCTTTGTTCTTTTCATGTTTCAGTTGATTTTTTTTGTTGTTAGATTTCAAGGGTAGCTAAAATATCAGAGATGAACTATGATCTTAAATAATAGAAAATGTCCTTTTTGTGGCTGTCAAATGAAGTGAGGCCTGTGAAGTCCAAGACACTGATATAGCCATCCAAAAGGTATATTTTTGGCAAAAATATACCATGAGAATGACCTGGTGACCCTTGTTTCCTCCCCTTCTTGAAAGAGACAGATAATTCAGAGATTTGTTTGTCCCTTAGGACTTCAAATAAAAAGCATGAATATGGTCAGAGTTTCTCATTATCAAGTCAATCACATTTTCAGAGTTCACATTTATAGTTCAGATAAGATTTTTAAAAAATAATGAAAAGAAAAGCCAGTACCTTACATTTCTGGTACATACTGAGATTATGTGTTTTTATGTGAAACAACATATATTTGGAAAGAAAAGAGAAAACAACATTTTGGGACTCCCATTGGATGCAGAAACAAAAATATAATGTAGTTGTTAAAAAGAAATTTTATGCTTCTTGCATGCAAAAAAAAAAAGAATATCTTTTGAGCTTTTGTTCAATTTCCCTTTGGCATTTCTTCATTTCTAACTAAAACCAGCACTGCGCATTGAATTTTCAAAGCAGAAATGCTAACATGGCAAATTATTTTAGGGATATTATTTTGGATTGGACTACTTTTTGAATAAATACACTGTATCTTGAATAAACCCTGTGTATCTATTTAGTTGATAAATGAGTTCCAATCAGTTGCTCACCCACAAATATTTGTAGTTCATATTCATTTTATTTTTAACTCTTCTGCAAACCATTAATTCATCAGTAATTTTTCTCTGTGCTTCTTAAGAAAGAATTTCTTTTAAGTGGAATGTAAATTTCTGTTTTTGAACAATTGATTCCGCATATATTGAATGCTCCTGGATGTAAGGAACTGTAGAGAACTTAAAGATGAATCAGGCAAATAAAATACTTTGGAATCAAAAATTCTCATTTCAAATTTGGTGCTAGCATTTAATAGTTCTGTGGACTTGGGCAATAATTAGAAGCTCTCTAAACCTCATTTTCCTTATTTATAAAATAATACTAACATTTTTTAGGGTTCTTGTAAAGAGTAGCTGAGTTAATAGATGTAAAGTATTTAGCACAGTGTCTGACACAACTCAGCCAATGTTATTATTATAAATGGTATAAAGAACTTATTTCTTTATGGGAGGTATTGAGTATACATAGAAAACTGTGGACAAGACAGCATAGGCAAGTGCCATAGAAAAGCTTTTTTTTTCTTCGAGAGACAAGATCTCGCTCTGTCACCCAGGCTGGAGTACAGTGTGCAATCATGGCTTGCTGCAGCCTTCACCTCCTGGGCCCAAGCAATCCTCCAACCTTACTCTCCCCAGAAGCTGGGACTGTAGATGCCATCACCAGCTAATTTTTAAATTTTTTTGTAGAGATGTGGTCTCATTGTATTGCCCAGGCTGGTCTTGAACTCCTGGCCTCAAGAGATCCACCTGTCTCAACCTCCCAAAATGCTAGGATTACAGGCATGAGCCAACCTCCCAAAGTGCTGGGGTAACAGGCTCATAGAAGCCTCTAAGTAAAGAACTGTGGTGGTTCAGAGGAGAGAGAGAGCACATCCAAGGAGTATTCAGAAAGTCTATTTCCATAAGTGAGGGGCAGGAAGACGAAGAGGAACTAGGGAAGGAGGCAGAGGGATCAGAGACACATAAGAAGACTAGCATTATGTATCATAAGGCTGAAAACTGGTGGCTTACAGCAGTGGTCCCCAACCATTTTTGGCATCAGGGATTGGTTTCCTGGAAGACAATTCTTCCATGGACCCAGGGAGGGGGATGGTTTTGGGATGATTTAAATGCATTACATTTATTGTGTACTTTATTTCTATTATTATTACATTGTAATACATGATGAAATAATCATACAGCTCACCATAATGTAGAATCAGTGGGAGCCCTGAGCTTATTTTGCTGCAACTAGATGGTTCCATCTGGGGGTGATGGGAGACAGTGACAGATCACCAGGTATTAGATTGTCATAAGGAGCACGAAACCTAGATCCCTCACATGGGCAGTTCATGGCAGGGTTTGCACTCCTATGAGAATCCAATACTGCTGCTGATCTAATGGGAGGTAGAGCTCAGGTGGTAATGCGAGTGATAGGGAGCGGCTGCAAGTACAGGTGAAGCTTCCCTTGTGCCTGCTGCTCACCTCCTGCTGTGGGGCTGCTGTTCCTAACAGGCCACCTGCCAGAACCATCCATGGCCTGGGGCTCGGGAACCTCTGCCCTACAGGACAAATTAAGCTCCCAGATGGGTTTCCTTTTGCTTACAAAGGATTTAAAGATACTTTTTAGCCAACATTTAAAAATTAGGTGAATTCCTATAAAAATCCAAATTTCTGGTTCTGTCTTGAAAAATTAAAATTAGAAAATATGCCAGCATCAGACCTAAATTCTTGCTTGGCAGTTACTGGATTGAGCTGAATAGCGACTGTTCTTTCTACAGGGCACAGGTTCTCTAGTTTGCCTCAGTTACTCACCACTCTTTGTATAGCGGGCCCTGAGGCCCACTTCATGCATTTATGTTACTTGTCCAGCCCTTGCAGAGACCATCAGTACATTTTTGAATGCCTGCTTATTTCATAGGAGACGCTATAGTGGCTGATGTAGTATCCAGCCTAGAATGAAGCTTGGTCTCTGACCTCAAGGCAGCTTGTAGGATACTGGAGGATATGATGTAAACATAGAACACGTTGTGGAGTGACTGTGAATGAAACAAGAACCACCACCAGATGGGCACTGATTGGATGAAAAGCACGGAAAGTGTATGCTGCGAGAGCACAGAGAAAGGAAAGGTTATCTGGTGAAGGTGTGATATTTTAAAAATGCCTTTGAAGATTTCTTTTTGTTGGTCAAGAAAACAGTTTCCTGAACAAGTTGAAACATAGACTTTCTGACTTACATGTGTATGATAACTATAAGGTGGTAAGCTGGTGTGCACATAGATTTAGGATGATAAATGTGGTTGAGTCAGAATAGTTTGAAGAACTCTAGGAATGTGGCTCAGAGATGAAGGAGGTGTTGGTCTCTGTGGAAAGGACAGATAAGAAGTCTTCTTTTCCTTATCGGCTGGCTGATTGTGATGTTCTC